GTCACCATGGCCCTACAAGGTGCAAGCCAACTGACTAAGGAGACGGAAAACCTCCTTGGGTTTGAGATCACCAATATGCGAATTGAAAAGGCAATGATTGTACCGAATACTACGCATGGACTGGAAATGGCCATGAATTTCAAGCGTCTCTCAACCTCTAGTGACCAAAACCAGGATCCCATTTTTGAGTTTTGTATCTACTCTAAGCAGCTCAACTCCCCTTGGGAACAGAATGCATCTGGTAGTATCAAGGTAAGGTACAAGCGGCGACACTGGAGAGCCGCCTTTCATCAGCACCACAAGAAGTTTGAGTCGCTCAAGACTACCTGCAAGGAGCCGGTCGTTCCCAGGCAGCTTTACGAGCTCCTTGATATTGTTGGCATGAACTACGGCCCGACCTTTCAAAACCTCACACAAATACTGAAAGGAACTGGAGCATGCCTCGCCAAAGTTCGTATCCCTGACACCCGGTCGAAGATGCCCGCCAAGTTTGAGTATGAACATCTCATTCACCCCGCGACCTTGGATTCAATGTTTCAAACACCCTTCGCTGTTTCGTCTGAACCTATGGTACCGACCTTCATAAAGAGCATATTTGTCTCAGCAGCCATCTCTCGCGACCTTGGCAAGCACTTCAAGGGTTACTCTACTGCTACTCGAACGGGTGTCCGTGATGCAAACGCAGACATTGCCATGACACAGTCATGTTGGGACCAGCCTTCAGTGGTCATTAGCGGGCTCCACTTCACTAGTATCGCCAATTCATCTCAAGCCGTAGGGGGCTTTCTTCCGAACAACCACACTTTATGCACTCAAATCTCGTGGAAACAAGACATCACGTGTGCACGAGCTCCAACTGTCGAGGTTCTGGTCACAACTCTTGCCCACAAGTTTCCAGGTCTGTCTATTCTTCTGGTTGGCGGTAGTGCACACACTGCCCTGAAGATACTATGTGCATTTGCTTGTCCTCGGGAGAGAACGCCTTGGTTCTCACGATACACGCTAGGCCATACTACCGGTAACAAGCCTTTACAAAAGCCGTCTCTGGTTGAGGGAACACACTACGAACATTTTGTCGAAAACCGAGCTGTTGATGGCTCCGAACCTCTGCCTAACTACGACCTGATCATTGTTTGTGATCAAGGTGATGTCGATATCGCCAGGCTCCTGAAACACGTAAAACGACCTGGTTTTCTACTGGAAAGCCTGCGACCTGGCAATTTCGATTCTCTTGATAAAGAAATAATTAGCCACAGCTACCATGATGACACTGGGAAAACCATAAACATGGAGTTCGGCGTTCATCACCAAGACCCGGTCCACGATTGGCTTTCTGTGCCTGGTGTGGTTGTCCTACTACCCAACGAATATCCTTCCGAGGCACGATCTTTCGCCGGGAAGCTGATTCTAGAGTATTACACCACTTTGCAAATCCAGATTATGCATTTGACTGAAATGACGAGTCAGCCGGACAAGCTCAAGGGCAAGATTGTCATATCGCTTCTCGATTTTGCGACCAACAACACAGGTGCTTATGTCTACAACTGGACTGAGGCAGAGTTCAAAGCTTTTCACACTATGCATAAGCTGGCCAAAAGCATCCTCTGGATCTCGCGAGGTGCCCACATGGAACCTATGAATCCTAAGGGCGCTCCCATCATTGCCCTTGCGCGCACCCTCAACTCAGAGGATCCTCTGAAGATGTTTGTGACATTCGACTTGAACATAAACACGTCATTAGACTCTCCTTCAACAGTCAAGTCTGTCAATAGGATCTTTTTGCAAAGTTTTGTATGGGCTGATGGTTCCGGTCCTCGCGAGTTGGAGTTCGCTGAGAAGAATGGAGAGGTCTTTGTGCCTCGCCTTGTTCCCATCGAGCCACTCAATAACATTGTCGAAAAAGACGTAACGCACGATGTTGTTCCGGTATCATTCCACGGTTACCCGCAGAATTTAAAGCTTCAAGTTGTTCAGCCCGGTCTGGTTGAGAACAGCCTGGTTTTTTCTGCTGTAACTCAATTCGCTCCCCTACCTGGCGAGGTCGAGATCATTTTTGAAAATGCACCTCTTAATTTTCTTGACTTGGAGACTGTCATGGGAAGGAGCGTGGACTCTGAATTTGGCACCGAGATTCACGGCAGTGTTAGACGCATTGGGCGTAATGTCTTTGGGTTTATGACTGGTGATCGTGTCAGCGGCCTTGTTGCTGGTGGCTCTATTCGGAGCAATGCCAATATTGACAGCCGGTTTGTCGCAAAGTGGTCTTCTGACCTTCCTCTCAGCCATTGCGTTAGTGCATACCATTGTCTTGTCAACGTTGGAAGGCTTGGGCATGGAAAATCAGTACTCATCCATGCTGGAGCCAGCACTTTTGGTCTTGCAGCTCTCGGCTTGGCTTCTCGATTGTCTGCCGACGTATTTGTGACCGTCATGGGGCAGGATGCTGGTAGCCAACGCGAGTTACTTCTTGGCATTGGTATGAAGAACACTCGTATTCTTAATGCCGATACCGATAATTTTTCTGTGACTCTTCGCGATCGTTTGGGAAAAGGTGTTGATCTTGTATACAACCCTACTCAGAAGCATCTTGAGACCAACCTCAAGTGTGTGCGCCATGGTAAGTTTTCGTACATCCCAATTCCTTCAACTTCTAACAGTTCCCAGGTGGTACTATTGTACAATTCGCCAGCAAGTCCCCGTATTCTCCGTCCACTCAACTTGGATCCGCAACTATTTCGATAGTCAACTTCGACTTGGCCACGCTGATGAAGCACGATGCCGACTACGTGGCAGAGCTTATTAAGAGTGTTGCCGAACACGAAGAGTACCTAGGGAAAAAGTTGGCTATGAAAGGCCCTCTTACCCAAACTATAGAGCTCTCCAACATCGCCGAGGCGTTCAAAATCGTTGAAAAGAGTCCATTTTTTGGGCTTGTATCTGTCACTGCGACTCCTCATGCGAACCCTGTGGTCGAGATACAAACTAAGAATCGGACCAAGTCACTCCACCAGGCTCTGTCTCGTACTCACACTTACGTTTTTGCTGGTGGTCTTGGTGGTCTTGGCCGCAGTATCTGCGACCTAATCGTCAGGAACGGCGTTCGGAATGTTGCTTTCATATCACGATCTGGTGCATCGTCCAAGTCTGCTCAGACCTTCCTAGAAGCCCTCGAGAAAATGGGTGTCAACGCACGGGTTTTTAAGATCGATATTTGCAACATTGACGGTCTTACCAAGGTAATCAAAGAGCAAATATGTGAAGAAATGCCACCCATCAAAGGTGTTTTCCAATGTGCCGCCATCATCAAAGACTCGATCTTTGCAAACATGTCATACTCTGACTGGATGGAGGCAGTCAAGCCAAAGACCATTGGTTCGGATAATCTTGTGCAGGTTATTTCAGACAATTCTCATGATCCGTTTTTCATCTTCCTCGCCAGCTCTGCTGGGATTATCGGCAATCGTGGCCAGGCAAACTACGCAGCTGGCAACTGCTTCGAAGATGCCCTTGCACAGAAATACTGCCTCCAAGGCAAGCATGCGACTTCCATAGATCTTGGACCTGTGCTCGGTGCTGGTATGCTTGCTGACGATACCGAGATCCTTGACATCCTAAGAGCCAGTGGGTTCTATGGTATCAGACATGAAGACTTCCTTACCATGATCGCATGTGCTATCACTGGAGAGATTACTCCTTATACCTGCATGCCCAACCGAATCATAATGGGTATAGGTTCCGGTGGGCTGATCCGGCAAAACCAGCCGGCTGATCCGTACTGGTCTCGCACTGCTCTTTATGGTTACCTCAATTTGGTTGACATGCCGGCACCTGACCTGGCTGTTGTCGACGGCACCAGCAAATTCGATTTGAAATCTCTCCTGGCATGCTGTACTACCATGGATGCAGCTGCCGAGATCATCACTACGGGCCTTTCGCATATGCTTGCTAAAGCTATGAACATGCTACCTGAGGAGATTGACACTGGTAAACCGCCCCATGTCTACGGAGTCGATTCTTTGGTCGCTGTCGGGGTTCGAAACTGGGTTGTCACCAACTGTAGTGTTGAAGTCTCCGTATTCGAAGTTTTGAGCGACAAGACTGTTGTAGAATTGGCTATGGAGATCGCCGCCAGAGGGGGTTTTGGAGTAGAGGACAATTGAGAAATGTTGCGCAATTGGTGTATAATAGATGAAGGAAGGCGAGTTGACAGATGTCTCTATATATGACGAGTGAAGGGTGTACGGTTTGAGAATTTGGAACAGATAAAAGCTTTGGAACTGTCAAGAATACCAAAACATGTGTTGATTGTTTTTGTTTGGAGACCAGAGTCAGCATCTAACCTAACTTTATTTTGTTGGAATAGCAATAACGTGAATGGATTATTCCCGCGATGTGCATCGTTGTTCCAAGACTATATGCCATTAAAGTTTATTCTACATCGTCACTGAGCATCTATGAAGTTAACCTTGTTCTGCGAAAACTCAATCTCATGTCAAAACTTCTTCCGACGACATGAGACAAAAAATAATTATCGCCTAACAGTAAAAGAAGAAGATGGAATGCGTAATCTGGGAATCGAACCCAGGGCTCCCCGATGTTGCTTGAATGGCAACGGAGAATTTTACCACTAAACCAATTACGCTTGCTGATGGAAGCGTTGCAAAGAATGAATATGTACACTGAGCTAGACGCTACCCTAGACAACGCACGATTTAACACAGACGTCAAAAGTTAGTAAACAACATGATTCCTGATATCATTCATACACTGACATAAATGATTTGGTTTTAGTTTCGATTCTTCATTGATAGCTTTCTGAGGTATACCTCCTTGCTGTGGTCTCACGGAGACGGTACACAGCTTAATCTTTCCCGGTTTTGTTAGTCCTGTGCAAAACTCGTAATGACTTTCCCATGCTTCTACCCATGATGGACACGCTTTCTAGAGGTAGTGATTTCCGTAAGCTGTTCTGGCGTGCTATAAGAGCTCCCAGTGTCCCCTTAATGGCCCTGACTGACTTCATGACCCATGCCCACATCATTGTCCCCATCGTCCATATGCTTACCAGGTCCAGGACAGGGCTGAACCCCGACTATGGCGTTGAGTCTGTCGATCTGTTTCTGTTGGGCTTCGCTCACTGCTTGGAGCTTCTGTATTATTGAGGACTGCGTTAGGATTGTCTGTTCATGCTGTCGGATCAACTGTTCATGTTGTCGAATCATGGGACCCCATATGAAAACCTCATCGCCCAGCTGCGACAGAAAGGGACGCACGATACTTCCGCTGTTATCCGAAGAGTTCTTGAATGTCAAGTCCCCATCGATGGGCTCCCCATAGCGCATTACCACGGCTTTTCGGATGCAGTCTGCGTGCTCCCTCAGCATGCCCCACCCATATATACCGACGAGAATGAACCATCTTTCGTAGGTGACACTGATCCAATTGGCTTCTCCAACCTCTTCGTCATACATATGCATGCTGAGTTGGTGCTTGAGTGGTTGGAATACCGACTGCGCATTATGCTGAAATTGGCCGCCCGTGAGCAGATGGAGAAGCCTGGATCGAACGCGACGAGGCATACTCGATTGGTGCTGGTTGAACAAAGTGCATAGTCGAACTGCGCTATGGCGATCGGACTCTTCTTGGGGCCCCAGCTGTAGGCCTTCGATCTTCAAATAAAGGGGCTGCTTCTCTTCTCCGCATACCCTGACTTGTCGATTTCCTAGTACCTAGATACAGAACTATGTTAATTCCTCTTCAACTTTTCCTTGCTAGCACTAACATATGGAAACTCTGTTTGTTCGACATCGTCTTTCTGTTGAACTTGAATCTCATCGTAATCTTGCATGCCATGCTCTGCTTTGGGTCGAGTACTGCCGGAGCTACTGTTTTGGCAATCTTGTTGGGGGGCTGGAGGCCAGGATGGCATACGGCCCTGCAGCATATCGCTGTACCACTCTAATAGAAAATTGAGTTAGACTCATGCGAATATTTGGGTTAGTTTAGGGGGATTTACGCATAGACTGTCGATGTCGCTTGCTATCTAACGCCTCAAACAAGGGACTGTCATCATGGGTAACCTTGCAACCATGATCAACTCGATAGTGGTCTCTAAGCTCGAGCCTGCCGTAGCGATCGGCCTGCAGCGATTAACTCTCTGTCCCAATAGCAAAGTGAATGAAGTATCTTCTTACATTCTTGCAGAGAATTTCAGTGAGGGGATGTCGCCATCGACAGTATCTTTCGCCAGGAACGAGATGAATACGTCCGCCCTGGTTTGGTCAGCCTTGTAGAAAAGTATGAGACGAAGGAAGTGATGACAGACCTCACCATAGTCAAGCGGTGGTAGTTTATCGCCGGGACGAGGTTCTGAGTAGTATCTCTGGTACACCTGAGGCTGTCCAACCTTTGCGTAAGGTTGTGCCATTTGTTCTTAATCCTTCCGGAGGCTTTACGGAGAAGGAAATGTGCTGAGGTGAACAAATTGCGCGATGATCGGCTTGAAGCCACGCTAGAAGGAGATGATAAGACAGAAGGAAGGTAGAGTGTTTGTGAGAAAGAAACAACGTGGGAGTCCTGCTGTCTTGAGAGGGCGAACCCCTCGAAAGCTGCCTGCCTACTTAGATTTGAACTCCTGCACTACCAAAAAGTGAACCATCCTTCGTCTTCTATTTAGCAGTCTTACCCAAAGGAGGAATACTCTTTATACCTGCGATCTATCCTGAATCGTTTTTATTTCTGCCTTTTTTATTTTCGGGCAATATATTCCCTAGCCATCATCTCACCACGCAGGAAAACCTTCTTCTCTCATAACAGCCACCGGCAATTGATTAAGTTACACATGCAAAAAGAAACATCCTCACTATAGCATATACCTTTTTATTATTATATAAACGCAGGCTCATCAGCATTAGGTCCCCCAAGAATTTCGTCTTCTCATCTCTCAACTCTCATCTCTCAACCACTACCCAGCTACTTATCAGCTATCAACTACCAACCATTAACCATCACCATGTCGCGTCAAGAGCAGAGGCGTACCGATGAGCGCGAGTCAGAATATTCTATTAATTCGCTCTCCGACTCCATTAAAGGCATGGCCATCGACACTCTCCGTCTTATCAGTCAGCCCTTTACCGAGGAGGAGCTCAATGACGCGACCCCAGAACAAGTTCTTCAACGAATGCTTTCCACCGCTTCATACATCTCGACAACCTCAAGTCTCGCTAAAAAATACCAACGGGCTAACGAGCCTTCCGCCATACGTTTATTTGAAGAGCTTGGCAAGGGACAGTGTGGGACGGTATACGGCTTTGTGGGTTCGTCGACTGCTGTGAAGCTTGCCAACTACGAAGAGAAATACAAGGAACTTGGTGAAGACTATTCCGCGTATATAAAAATCCATGAAGCCATTCAGGAATGCGACCCAGACCATGAGATCAGTGCCAGACTCCCAAAGGCTTATGATTTCATTGGCCCGAAATCTGAGTTTTGGAACGAATACAACCTGCTCTTTGATCCTCAAGTCAAGGTTAGAGGCTATGGCTTGACATTAGAGCGGATCTTTCCTGCTCCCTTCCCAGTGAGAGAGGCACTTGTCGATGCCCTCCTTCCACCTATTATCAAGCGAAACAAGGCCAAATTTCTAGCCAAACCCGAGAACAAGAACTGTTTGATTCGCCTGTACCTCGGCCGACGTCACACAACTAAAGTACAGGGCAAAGTTCAGAATCTCAAACTTCAGAACTTTCCCCTCCACGTCAACGAGATGGAGGATCTGGGTTTGGATACTGAACGTTTTGCCCGTCTCATGGCCAACACTCTAGCCATTATTCACTGGGGTGCAGGGATTGACGGCGATGATATTGAGTTTGTGCTTGGTAGCTCTCCAGTCCAGAACAAAACGCCAACATCGAAGGAACTCGAGACGCTTAAATTGTGGGAGATGGCTGAAGCTTGCGATCGGAAGTTTACTCAAAGAACGATGGAGATGTGGGTTTTTGACTTGAACGAGTAAGTATCTACTTTCCATATCACCACTCTTTAACTGACTTTTTAGGTGTTCCCCAGTTACCAACGATGAAGCCGGCATAGAACAATTAGTCAGGGCTTTCAACAACAACGATCCCTACTACCCTCAGCCTGGCCAGTCCAACGAAAACGACCGAAAGCTCTGGAGCGTCTTCCGTAAGACGTACCTGGACATGAGCCACCGATTTACCGAGAGCATGAACCCAGGCAGGTTCATCAAAACTCTCGAGGAGGAGCCGAGCAAGGAGAACAGCAAGAACAAGAGAATCGACAGCCTGGCATTTTTCGAATGAGTTCCCATGCATCTGATGATGGACAAACTCAACAAACCCCTTTGCAAGAATCGTTATCAGCTCTAATCACAAGATGGAAACTGAGTGGTAGGTGCCGAGTTTCAGTCCCTGCATCTTGTTTCTCAGATAGAGACACTGCTGACTAAATGCTTTCAGGTCAGTTATGTGCGGGAGAGGATGATTTGGCCGACCAGGAGAATCAAGGGAGCAGCGCATTACCCGCTAGGAAGATGCAGGGCTATCAGCAGATAGCCCAGGTGTTGTGTTCGTCCATCACCTACAAAGCTAGGTATTTGGAGAAAACATCATATTGAGCGTATGGGAACGCATATGTGGTCTGGCATTAGTTATAACCGGCACAAATGAAAGCTTCATTTCAATTCATGTCCTGCATTGATGTATACCAGTGCATCTATTGTAATGCGAGTGATTAATGATGGGTTGCACCTTTTTGGCCTCTCCGCCTGCCAACACTCCCTCCATATCCCTGCAGATCCCAAACGAGTGAATTCGATTGCCTTGAAATCCATCGTCTATGATGACTTAGAATTCAATGGTATGTGCTTGTTGGCTTTATATGTCATCACCGTACATATACGAGTAGTGTTGGCCAGTGTAGCTTTGATGCAGTGCTCACAAAACTCCAGTGGGGAAGTTGGAGATACATGTAGGTATGATGTTACTGTAGATGCTCATTGGATCATCAGTAATACCCGACTGGAGGATTTGCATTACTCCGGCGGGGAAAATGACGGCCTCAAAGATGGGGTTTCACTCGTTTGGGTATTTATTCTAGACTACATAGCATGAGCCTTTTGGTGCAAGCACGGCAATTGAGTGTATCAGACTCGCAACATCGCAACTAGCAGACGCCTTCATCTTGCGGGAGCTACTACCATGTTCTTTGACGACAAAACCCGCCTCCGCTACAAGTACGATGCGGAGGATCTTTGGATTGAACCATGGGGCCCCAATGCATTTCGTGTGAGAGCCACCAAGTCCGCAAAGATACCATCGCAGGACTGGGCTCTTCAACAGCTCGAAGGAATAACACCCCAGATATCAATTTCCAAGGACTCTGCCACTATCACCAATGGAAACATTAAAGCCCGAATCTCTCGGCTCGGTAAACTGATCATTGAGACCACAAATGGAAAATTGCTGCTCGAAGAGTACTGTCGTAATAGACGGGATCTCATCGATCCAAAGTGCAGTGCTCTTGAAGTTGAAGCACGCGAGTTCAAGGGTATCCTTGGAACTGAGAACTACCACTTGACCATGCGACTCGAGAGTGTTAGTCCCGATGAAAAGATATTCGGGATGGGTCAGTATCAACAGCCATGGCTTGATTTGAAAGGTATGGACCTCGAGCTCGCCCATCGCAATTCCCAAGCAAGCGTCCCATTTGCCGTGTCGTCACTCGGATACGGACTATTATGGAATAACCCGGCAATTGGTAGAGCCATCTTCGGAAAGAACATCATGTCCTTTGAAGCATTCTCGACCCAGGTCCTCGACTACTGGATTGTCGCAGGAGAGTCGCCAGCCCAAATCGTGGAAGCTTATGCAGACGCTACTGGAAAAGTACCCCTTATGCCTGAATATGGGCTTGGATTTTGGCAATGCAAACTACGATACCAGACGCAGGAGGAGCTTTTGGAGGTAGCCAGGGAGTACAAGAGGCGAGAAATTCCAATTGACCTGATTGTTATCGATTTTTTCCACTGGCCTAAGCAGGGTGAATGGAAATTTGACCTCGAATACTGGCCCGACCCTGGTAAGCACCCTTGTCTCGTAAACCGAAACAGTACTGACAAGCCATAGATGCTATGATGAAGGAACTCAAAGATCTTGGGATCGAGCTCATGGTTTCTATCTGGCCAACTGTTGATAAGGTCTCAGAAAACTATGAGTATATGTTGGAACATGGTTACTTGATCCGTACGGATCGAGGCGTTCGTATTGGGCTCGATTTCCAAGGCCAAACCGTTCACATCGATACCACAAATCCAGATGCCAGGAAGTACTTGTGGGAAACTGTCAAGAAGAACTACTATTCCAAGGGCATCAAAACATTCTGGCTAGATGAAGCAGAGCCGGAATATGCAGCATACGACTTTGAAAATTATCGATATTTCCAAGGCTCAAACAGTTCCATCGGAAATATTTATCCTGTCGAATACGCTCGAGCATTCTATGAGGGTCAGGAGGCAGAAGGACAAAAGAACATCGTCAACCTTCTCCGCTGTGCTTGGGCCGGTAGCCAAAAGTATGGCGCCCTTGTATGGAGCGGTGATATTGCGTCGTCGTGGGGTAGCTTCCGCAATCAGATATGCGCCGGTCTCAACATGGGACTGTCTGGACTACCCTGGTGGACGACAGATATTGGAGGTTTTCACGGTGGCAACCCTGACGATGAAAGCTTTCGGGAGCTCTTTGTGCGATGGTTTCAGTGGGGTACGTTCTGCCCAGTCATGCGACTACATGGCGATCGTGAACCTCGCCAGCCACAGCATGGAACATCGGGCGGAGCGACTTGCTGCAGTGGCGCCCCCAACGAGGTTTGGTCCTATGGCCCAAAGGTCTATGACATCTGTGTGAAGTACATCAAGATGAGAGAGGAACTTCGGCCATATACACGAAAGCTTATGAAGGAAGCACACGAGAAGGGCACACCAGTTATGAGGCCTCTGTTCTACGAGTTCCCGGGCGATAAAAAATGCTGGAGCATCTCGACCCAGTACTTGTATGGCGACAAGTACCTCGTATGCCCCATCCTCAAACCAGGCCAGACAGACGTTGAGGTGTATCTTCCCCAGCTTCCTCAAGGTAAGAAGTGGTCTTCATTCGATGGTCAATCGTCTTATGATTCGGGAAAGAGTGTGGTAGTGGACAGTCCTTTGTCACAGATGCCGGTTTTCATAAGAGAATAACGACGTTTCCCGGGTGCTCGAGATCAGGGACCTAGCATGCCAGGCATGCACGTCAGAGTGATAATAGACAAGTCGATAGAATCTTAGAATAAACCACTGACTGATTCTCTCCCATTCTATAGTGCAGTGGTTACATCTAATAGACTTTTCAAACCCTTGACAAAGGAGGCCTCAATTCCCCACGCCTTTTCATTAGCTCCTTTATGTGACAGTAGCCTTATACCTTCCATTAGAATCTTTGGTGGAGCGTCAGTACTACAAATATCTCCAACTCGTTGCATATAGCCTTTCATCTTATGCCCAAGCCGTATATAGGTTTGGACCATTTCGTCATCACATGGTCGATCCAGATGGATAAATGCTGGTTCCGGTTCTTCTTTTTCTTCTTTTTCTTTTTCTTCTTCTTTTTCTTCTTTTTCTTTTTCTTCTTCTTCTTCTTCTTCTTCTTCTTCTTCGTCTCTATCGTCATATGGGTGTGTAGTCTCTGCATTGGCAGGGCCCTGTGGAACATGGCTCGCAATATCTTGTCTCAGTCTTGGCACCCCAGCATCCTGCAGAGGCTCTTGATGCATCATCCGTGAAGTAAAAACACTATAGGCCCAGACCAATAGAGTAGCAATATAGATAGCGTGGGGTTCTATAAAGCCGTTACCACTGTAGCGGCGGATATGCCACATCAAAGCTCCGGCATGAATAATAGATAGCCTGGCCTTGTACTGGTCAACATTTGCCCAACGATGAAGGTGGGTGTATGCTTCTGAATAGCCCGTAATGTCATGTACCCCATTACTCGCTTTGGAAAACGTCGCTAACGTCGCAACCCTTTGTAAATGCTTGCAAGGCGCTAAGAGGTATAACCGGGAGAGGTGGAGAAGGAGAATAGTTGGGTGTTCTGAACCACCAGCATTGGCAGCTTTTCCGTTTGCTTTCCAATGTAATATGTCAAGGCAATCGCAAGCACTGTTTCTCCACCTTGTTATTATCTCGAGACTTGGTGGCCACGACTCGGCCACAGTGCTTGATTCGGAACAGGGTTCAACATGCGCAACTGGGGTCCATCTGGACAACGCAGTTTCGTATTGGTAAGCGGCCTCTCTGGTCCTGCGACAAACGGCGTAAATCATTACGATATTTCCGAATTCAGTCAAGTTACTTGGCTGTCGTTTTTCCATGTAAAGAAGGTGAAGTGCCTCAAGTACTGTTGCTGTCCCAGGATTGTCTGGTTAGCGAGGAGGTGCCATTATTTGGAATATTGTGACTCGTAACTAACCTTGGCGACAGACATTGCTGTTGATTTTGTCCGACGTCGGCTCGTCCCATATATCGTCTTGGCATGGAAGTGTAGCTTTAACTTCGTGAAGTTGTAAGAGGTGCGGGCAATCGAACTCGTGTGCGATGATGGAATCAAGAATCTTGACATGTCAGAACAAGTCGAAAAGCCAGCGTATAAAAAAAACATACCCACAACATCAATCCCGTTCGTAATTCGGATTGAGCTCGTAGCCATTTTCTGATGGATGAGCCATCACCAGATGTTACGTTGTTGTCGATTTTGGGCGGTGTATGGGACAATAGATTCATGCTTCTGCATTGTTCAACGAGGAGAAACATTTGGCCCAACGCACGCTCCGTTACGGCCTTCTGGCCGCTATGGAGCCTGTCAATCATGCTGAGAATAAAGGCTTGAAGTGTTATAAAGTCCAATCGAACTCTCGGCTGGAAAGAACCTGGAATCCAAGTCCCATGACTGTCCTGATCACTTTTCTCAGACATCGAGTCAAGCCTGTGATCCAAGATTACTCCCAATAACCTGGATAAGGATGACGACCATGTACCTCCCAAATATTTGGCACCAATAACTGATACAGCCAGAAGCAGAATCCAATTACTCGGGTCCTTCCATATTGAGGCGCTCTTTCGTAAAAAAGGATGTGTAACATGGAAATTTTCGTAGTAAAGCCGTACAAAACATCTGATATGCCCTAATGGGGGGATAAGGACAGTAGATTCCGGGCTGTCAGCTTCGGCATATTCACGAGTAGCTGACAATAGCTCCGAGTAAAGCTCGTTTGATACATAGAGAGAAGAGCCTGCTTGATTGTCAATTTCAAGCGAATCCGGGACTCCGCTAATTGACCCAGTCTCCGCGTGAGATGTGCTGGCTTGGTTCGTGTGTCGACCTAAGAGCTGTCCACCAAAAGGTGCTCTCGCCATCGTTCCTTCGACATAAAGCGTCCCATCAGTTGACTTTGAGGTACTGGAGCCGCGGAGGCTATCTGCTCGACTGTGGCGAGGGCTAGCAACATCCATTGGACTTGGTGCGAAGGCTGGTTCGGGAACTGGTCTAGCCATATCAGAACTATTTGCGTCATTGTACTGAGCTGAGATCCAGGGTGAGACGTGGTTGGGCCTAGCAAATCCAGAGGGAAACTCATATCCCGTGGGCCCAAGGCCATCGGCAACAACCGATAACTGACTCTCCCACATCGAAAGATACTGGCTATCGCTCAACCAGTTGATGCTGGATGCCGCCAGAGTTGATTCTGCCGTAGTTTTATCAACTGCAAAGTCACCTAGGTCATTGATCTGAAACATGGACTCGGGTAGTGAAGCAGTGGTGATAAGATCGCCAGTAGATGTCATCGGGATAGGTTGATGCTCATTAGTGATCCACCCATTCTCGACATCATTCTTGATTACGTTGTTCTCCATGAGTACAGAAGTCTCTTCCACCCCTTCTTCTGTGGCTTGGGCGTGATTCTGAACTTCAACATCCTCATTCGAACTTCCTGAAGAGGACGAACCAGCATACTGGGAAGTCGTGGTATTTCGTTGGGTCATTGAGCGAGTCTTTCGTCTTCCAGACTTAGGATAGATGCATTCCAAGTTTCTTTCTTTGCATCTTCCACATGGCAGTTCTCTTGAACAGCGACTACGCCCTGCAGCGCATTCTGTACATGCTCTAGCTGATACCGTGTTGCGGGTGACTACACCCAACTTGTGCGTGGCCTGATGTCTTTGTAAAACGTCTTGCCTTGAGAAAGATTTGTTGCATTGTCGACAGCCATATGGCTTCTCTCGTGTATGTGCTCTGACATGCCGCGCCAAGTGTTCCTGTCGGCCAAATGTCTTGGGGCAGAAACGACATTGAAACGGCATGTGCTCGTCCTGGGGAGGCATCTTACTTTAGACTGGATCGTGTTTGCGAGATCATTGAGTTTGTGATAATGCATAATTGCAGGAAGTTGCGACTGGCAGGTTGATGCTTGCAAGTAGGTAGACAGTTTGGTCATCTGCGGGGTTGTACTTTCCATCTTGAGTCAGGGTCATTTGTTACCGAGCTATCCAAACCTGACATAAATCGTCAATCCCGTTTGGTCTTTGGCGATTTGGTTTGGATTCATTATATATAACTACCTAGGTACATATACATGCACACAAACTTCAGAAAAAACATAGGCTAGGAAGCCTTTGACAATTTGCCGAAAATCATCACCACATATTCTCCTACTTCACTGTCAATGAAAGATTATTTACGTGGGCTCCTGATTTACAACAAACGATAATTCAATCAATCCAAAACTGAAAAGAAACTAATATTCCCTTTGTACTTGCTAACTTGTTAATTCGGCAGATCGTGATCCCCTCCCCCACCGGAAGAAGAACAATACAATACAACCAACTTGCTCCGGTGGGGATCGAACAGCTTCAAATATCCATCTCCACACCCATGCCCCATGTTTCAATAATATGACAAGGATGGCCAGCTTGGGAGCTCTCTTTCCCCAGATTCTTCCCCACAAACCCCGGACGATCATAAGAGAAAGAGAGGTTACCTCAATACGCACCATGAGATGAAGGACCAATAGCTTTGCAAGACAGCTGGGATAACCTGGCACAGCTCATCTATATCTATATATATATATATATATATATATATATAGCCAATGTTGCTCGTTGTTTGACTGATTGTGGCAATGATACAATGTCTCGGTGCTCCAGGAGTACCTAATATTCCTACAGCGCGATACAGTCTTTACAATGTCTGCTATCACAAACGACAAGGTCGCCAGAGTCAGTGAAGATGACCATCCCCAAGCTTCTGATATTGTCAAAGACAAATCCATTGCAAAGCAGGCCGCGGAAGAAGAACACAGTCTCACATTACTCCAAGCCATTCGAAAATATCCCAAAGCCGTCTTGTGGTCGGTCCTACTTTCAACCTCAATCATCATGGAAGGTTACGATATTGTCCTAATATCGTCTTTCTTCGCTCAGCCTGCCTTTCGGCAACACTACGGAAGCTACCAACCTTCAACTGATACCTGGCAGATCACAGCTTCTTGGCAGAACGCTCTTAGTAACGCTGTCAGTGTTGGCACCATCATCGGAGCATTTGCCAATGGCTACTTCACACATAAACTTGGGTACCGCAAAGTACTTCTCGCCTCTCTGGTAGCCATATGTGGCTTTATCTTCATATCCTTCTTCTCGCCTAATCTCCCCGTTCTCCTCGTTGGACAATTCCTGTGTGGTATCCCATGGGGTGTATTTGCTACCATGGCCCCCGCATATGCTTCCGAAGTCTGTCCTATGGCGTTAAGAGGTTATTTGACTGTTTATGTCAACCTCTGTTGGGCTATCGGGCAACTGATTTCAGCCGGTGTACAAGCCGGTTTCTCGAACAAAACTGGACACTGGTCCTATCGAGTGCCATTCGCAATTCAGTGGGCATGGCCTCTTCCCTTGTTCGCTGTTCTTTTCTTCGCACCTGAGTCACCATGGTACTTTGTTCGTATTGGTGCCTACCAGGAAGCAGAGAAGTCGGTTATGCGACTGAGCTCTTCGAAGGAACCAGGTCATACCAAGCAAGCAGTCGCTATGATGATCCATACCGATGAGATCGAGAAGTCAATCGATCAAGGCACCTCATATATGGACTGCTTCCGTGGAATCGACAGACGTAGAACAGAGATTGCTTGCATGGTTTTTGCGGCTCAACCTTTTTGCGGCTCTGCCATGGGTGGGACGCCGACATACTTCTTCGTACAGGCTGGACTTCCCGAGTCGATATCATTCAGAATGTCCGTCGGCGGCCTAGGTATCGCTTCTGTTGGCACGGTCATCTCTTGGTGGCTGCTGGCCCCCTTTGGTCGGCGCACGCTGTATCTCTGGGGCCTTGGTTTGCTCACAGTGGTGCTGATGACGGTTGGTTTCATCAGCGTCGGTGCAGCGGACTCACAAAGCGGGAATTACGCCCAAGCCAGTATGATGCTCATCTGGCTAGGTGTTTACTACATGACAGTAGGCCCAATATGTTATGCCATTATCAGTGAAGTGAGTGCTACTCGCTTGCGGGCAAAAACGGTTTGCATCAGCCGAATTGCTTACTATATTGCCCAAATCATTTGCAACGTTGTCAATCCGTACATGTTGAACCCGACTGCTGGAAACTGGCGAGGAAAGACTGGATTTCTCTGGGGCGGCTGTTCCCTTTTCTTCTTCATATGGACATTCTTTCGGCTTCCTGAAACGAAGAACAAGACTTTCGAGGAGCTCGATATTCTTTTTGCTCATCGTGTGAAAACTCGCGAGTTTTCCAAGTACAAGGTCGATGCTTATGCTGAGGATGATGGTACATTCACTGTTAAAGATGGCATGCACTGATGATGGATCCATAAGGAATTATAGTTCTCGAGCGCATTGATCTGGTCTTTGTAGGTAATATTCACGACTAATAATATGTTTGGATTTGTATTGAATGCGAGGCCCAAATGGAATTACCCTGAATCAATTCTGCTCTGTTCTGGTTGGCAGCGTGGCGGCGTAGTGTTAGCCCGAACACGTGGGATGCAAACAGGGTCTTTTGAATGATTCCAAAACATGCATGTAAGATCCGAGCTTCAGACTACACCATCTTCGTATATACCTTTTGCGAACGCTGAGGATGCATACTATGTACAAACAGTACTTTTGTTAGGTGACGCCATGCAGACACCTCCGAACCCGATCAGTTTCTCGGGTGTAAGTGTCATGACAGATTATCTCAACGGCTTTCTCTACTAAGTAACTGTTAAAATCAGATCCATAGTAACAATCTCGGCGTTGATAATGGGCTTAACCTATTGGGAAGTACAAGGAAGGCTGATTGGTCAGCGGAGTTTGTGAATTTACGGCATGGCAAAGTCCGATTCTTGTCTAAATCCGGGGGCGGGGAGAAGTGTTATATTGTCAAGGGCACAGCGATAAGACGGTACAATACTGCACACTGTTGACAAGCAGAAATGGCCGAAATTGATGTCATTGAGATTGCCCAACTGGGAGACAAAGTAATCATGCAAAAGACTCGGAGATTCGAGCAAGTACTCGGTAGTACAAGGTCAAAGGGCGTGGATGTCAATGGATGTTATTTGCCGAAAAGAGTCGGGTATAAGCCGGACCACCATGTACAAAAACGAGTGCTGTCTGTTGTGTGAGTCAGATGATAACATGAGAGAAAAGAGACGAAACAGAAAATAACATGCTCATTTCATCCGGCTTTTATTACATCTCTTCTCCTTCTTGTAAGTCAGACCGTTTGATACCAAGGCCCTGGGTAGGAACCGGTCGCCCCGGCTGACAAATGCAACTTTGATGCTATTCACACTGTTAAAGGCTCACAAGCTTGTGCCAGCCTCCCTAGTCCCCCCACCCATATTAGTTCCTGTTCATGGTCTAGTGAGCTGATGGAAGAAGCAGCTAGAAGAAATATTTGTGACTCAGGCAGCAAATTTTCCAGATGGAAGCTCCGCTTTGGACGTTTTGGTACGCGTCGATACAGTGTATTACAGTGTAGTTCCAAGTCAACGCCCGCTGGTTCAGTTGGCCCCCCCCCGCTCTCACAGCGTCTGCCTACAGTGGCAGTTTAGTTGAATCCTGGGCGGGCAGGCGGGCTTTTCTCCCATTCATCATCCCTGGCTCCGCCTGACCTTGACACCAGTCGGCGGTCAATTTCATCATCCATCTTGCTTACTTACATACTGATTGATCTTCTCGATAGCCTCAGTTCCTTGTTCCTGAATTCAATTCAATCCAATCCGAAAATTTCGTTTATTCTTTGTCCATACTTCACCGTACTGCACTTGGTTCCATGACTTTGACGGATACGTGCAGCAATCTTAACCCATTATAAACCAAGCCCCGCCTCTTTAGGTCCTGTCAGATCCCCGACGTCGCCGCTACACGCGCTCAGGCTCTTTGCCCCCCTCCCGTGTGAGCCTGGTTTGGCAGAGAGCTTGCTTGGATTTGGTATCAAATCTAGAGTGTCCTGAAACTCACTTCTTTCGATTTCAAATAATTTTCCATCCTTCGCGACACTCTTCTTCGACCAGCCTCACATCCCATCACTCGCGATGGCTTCCGCCGGCACTGGAGGCTCTTTGCCACCCAACTTTCTCTTGACCCCGCAACAGCAGAACCTTCTCTTCGCTGCCCTCAACTCCAATAAGCAGCAGCTTGCTGGTTCTACCGCCAACAACGCTGTCTCTGCCCAGAACAACTCTTTCCGCAACTCTGCCGGCCAGCAAAAGCCCGGCCAGGCCTCAGCTTTCCAGGAGAGTCCCTTCCTCGACAATTATGACTACGACTTTGGCGACTCTGGCTTCGATTTTTCTTTTGCCAGCGAGGATCAACCGTCCATGATTGGAGACCTTCCTGGCACCACCGCCGATTCTACAAACAATGCCGTCTCTGTGGCATTGTCCGACTCTTCAGAGACCGAGACTCCCGAGAAACGCAGCTACCCAGAAGATGAGGACGACGAAGACAGCCCAGGTCAAGAACACAAGCGTCGCGAAAGCACCGGCAAGGTTCCCAAGAAACCCGGCCGTAAGCCTCTTACATCCGAGCCCAGTTCGGTATGTTTTGCCTCGTTCATGGCCACCCAACGCATACTAACACATGATAGAAACGTAAAGCCCAAAACCGAGCCGCTCAGCGTGCTTTCAGAGAACGCAAGGAAAAGCACTTGAAGGATCTCGAGACCAAGGTTGATGAGCTGGAAAAGGCTTCTCAGGCTGCTAACCACGAGAATGGCATGCTGAGGGCACAGGTTGAACGCATGACGACCGAACTCAACCAGTACAAGCAAAAGGTCACTGTCTTGTCAACCACCAAAACTCTGCCTCGAGAAAAGGTTCCTTTTGGCAGTGCTGCTCTTAGCAATCTTGGCGATGTTAATTTCCAGTTCGAATTTCCCAAGTTTGGCATGCTCCCAGGCCCCCCTACCAACAGACCTCAGGAATCATCACCTACAAGCCCCAATCAACAAAAGGCATCTTACCCAAGCCCTAACAATAATATGAATAACAATGCGCAATCAGCACAGCAATTTAAGGACGATTTGGCCAAGTTCTCTGGTGTTTTCAGCCCTTCCATGTCAAGTTCCGCCACCAACCCTTCCCGCTCGAGCGTCGACTCTGCAAATTACAGCGTCAACGGCACTTCGAGCTCCCCGTCTGCTTCTTCGCATTCAAACACTGGCCCCAGCTCTTCTTGCGGCACCTCGCCCGAACCTTTCAACCAGTCGCCCATGGGTTTCAAGCCTGTTGATACAATGACCACCATTGGTGAGGAACAGTCGAACCAGAACAACGTTAGCCAATTCGGTAATGTCGACCTCAACAGCACCAACTTTGACTGGCTTTCACAACAGAACGGTGGGCAATTTGATCCTCAGCTCTTTGGTGACTACCGTGAGCCTCAAGCAAACGTCTTGTCCAACCCATCGTTCGATGACTTCTTCAACGATGCTGTTGACAGTGACTTCTTTACCCCTTATAACATGGCGCCCAACAGCCCCAATGCTCAGGCGAACAACCAGCACAAGAAGGCATCCAATTTGATCGATCAGATTGATGCTCAGAAGGAGTCTTGTGATGACGAGCCTCTCAAGAAACAGAACATGAACTGCAATCAGCTCTGGTATGTATTACTTCTTGGTTCCCATAAAAGTTGACGATCTAACCTTTACATCAGGGAGAAACTCCAAGCTTGCCCCAAGGCACAGAATGGCGAGTTCGATCTAGACGGCCTTTGTTCCGAGCTTACGAAGAAGGCCAAGTGCTCCGGTACAGGGCCTGTGGTGGCGGAAACCGACTTTGACACCATTCTTCAAAAATACATGGGCAAAGATGTTTCCAGCAGTTGTGTTGCGGAGAAGTTGGGTGTAGAACTTTCGTCTAAGAAGTCCAAGCCAGAAACGCACCTTGGTCTATCAGCTTAAGATTGGGCCCTGACAACAAGATCCGGCTGTACATTAAGAACCTTGGCGACATACCCAGCAAGCAGCTACACAATGATTACGGCGTTTACAACAGAAAGGAAGGAATCGGAAAACCTTGGGGATTCCGGCGCTTGATTGGTCACCATCTGAGATGGAATTCAAATGCATGGAACGGAGAATGGGATTATCTAAAGGCATATTGATGTACTATGCCCACAAATTACCGGCTTCTAAGCTCAAGTTTTGAAGTTTTTGAAGGTTTCTCTTTGAGGTTTTGCGTTGGACAGGTGTTTTTGCTGTTATGAATAATTATGACTTGATTCTGGTTTCAATTTCAAGGCCTATTATGGTTGATTGAGCAAACGAGATGACTCTGCGTTGGTGGAAGTGGATGAGTATACATGTATGTGCATTTTTTAAGGGATAATTCACTTTTCTTTCTGATAACATTTGAGTCTTGCTTCATTTAAAGCCAGCGTTTTGGGTGACCCATATAACCTATTGGTAGAAAATTTGTGGTGACATGAATGACACTGATCATGACATAGGTAGAAGTAAGAAAAGGCGAAGACGTAACATCACTTCCAAGCTTATTTCAATTGTATTTTGATCATGATACCTTAGTCATCAGGTGGGGCATTATGATCGCGACAAGGAAGTAGCCCAGCAAACCTGACGATATGTTCATCTTTAACAATCCAAACGCAAACTACGACAAGACTCAACACAACATCCTCATTGAATTAATCTCATCTGATCATCAAGCACTACCACCTTGATATCCCTGATAACATTCCAAACCCAAAATACAAAAAGTGCACACAGTCTAAATCACTGGTGCTTTCGCGATGCCAAAAGAAAAGAACTACAATCCCGTACAAGCTCAGCGCAAAGCTGACAAGGCCAAAGCACTTAAAAAAGGTTGGAGAAATCCAAGATGTCTGAAATACACATCTAACATCGTTTGCAGGCAAACATGAACGACAGGAACGCTTGAACGAAAAGTTATCGCGAAAGAACCCCGAGCGCATACAAAAACAAATCGACGACCTCAAGAAAATCACATCAGGCGGTGGCAAGCTTACGCGCCATGAGGAGCAAACGTTGGAAAGCCTCGAGAAGGAGCTTAAAGCAGTGAAGAAGGCGAGAGAAGCGCTGGGCGACAAGGCACCTACGTTTGGGCGAGGATGGAATAGGGATCGCGATTCAGGACCTGGCGTATTGGGAAAGAGGCGTAGAGGGTCAAATGATGCTACGACCAGTGATGAAGACGTTCCAGACGACATCAAGAGAATTCCCATGCCTCGAGATACGCCTCCACCGATTCCCAAAGACGTTATGGATAAATGGTACGCCGAGCGACGAGCGAAGAGAGCAGAAGAGAACGCAGCGAGACAAGACAACGAAAACAAGCAGCAAAAGAAGAATACGCCACCGGTGGAAGCAAAGACTGTATACGAAGCGAAACCCGTGGTTCGCGATCTTCGAAAAGAAGCTGTCTCAGCATTCGTACCTACAGCTGTCAAGATGAAGATGAACAAGGGCCAAGGCCATGGCGGATTGATAGAGCCAGAAGAAGCAGACCAGCTAGAACAGGAAGGCTACCTCAAAACAGTTGGCCGGGATGCGGAAGCACAACCCGACCAAGGCTCGACGTCACGGCATGTGACCATGGTGGATGTCGAGGACGAAGAGGCTTAATTAGATTGGAGGTCAGTTCAGACGTTGTGTCATTGACACCATTGACAGATAATAATACATGCATAATGTCGGCCGAATGCTAGCCAACAACAAATTTTATCGGCGAATACCACAGAAATTCAACGCCGATTCGACGCAATGTGACTCAACTCTACATTAGTTGCCCTTGGCTTTCCTCCACTACTGATTTGATACGGTAGATCGACGCAACTCCGAGGGTGGGTTGAGGCCGGCTATTATAGCGGCATAGGGAAAAGCTGGGGAAAAGGACCCATCTGACCACCCACACACACACAATTGAAGAAGACGGAGGACCAAGTGCGTTGACCGACATCGTTCTTGACCGATAACGTTTCCCGAGGAGAAAAGAGAGCGCAATTGGTTTGTTTTTAGAAGGCGTTGGCTAGTCAGTGCTTTTGGTTTAGACCCAACAAGTATGTCTCGATTTGATCAACGACCGTTCCATACCCGCGAACAGGTGGAGCTCGAGGCAGTAGGCGAACAAATGATGAGTTTTCATTACTTTTCTCATCACGACAAATCCTTCTTCTATGGTTAATCCAGCCGCGCTCCGAAAGCGGGCCTCGTTCTTCTTGGCCGGGTCAGCGCCGAAATCCGATCATGTTTATATTTAAGCATGATCTGCCCTTTGTCCCGTCTTTTTAACTGTTCAATAACGCCCAATTGACATGTCGAAGTGCCTGTAAAGAGACAATAAAAGCGCTATCTGGGGACGGACGGACAAAGAACAACTCGAAACAACAAGAAATGGATTGCCACCAAGTCACCTCTCGCGCCCTCTACGAGGAAGACGATGTCATCAACCATGTCAACCAAGTCAACGCGGGAAACGGCGATGTAAAGACAGGCAGGGATCTCGAGAAGCACCAAACCGCTGCATCTACAGCCTCTTATCAGGAAACGTACCCAGAGGGCGGCTTGCAGGCGTGGTCCGTGGTCGCTGGTTCGTGGTTCTCTCTATTCGCTTCGCTTGGACTAATGAACACTCTCGGCACTTTTCAGGCCTATGTCCTCGACAACCAGCTCACAGAGTATAGTGAGGGTACCGTTGGTTGGATCTTTTCCATCTACACCTTCCTCGCCTTCTTTTGCGGTGTTTACATCGGGCCTGTCTTTGACAAGTATGGCCCTAGGTGGCTCGTCATTGCTGGTGCAGTTTTCACTGTCGGTGGTATGATCTTTATGAGTTTTGCTACTCGTAAGTTTCTTCCTCTCTGATTTTCTTGGTATTGTTTGCGCTAACTTATGTAGAACTCTGGCACTTTGTTGTCGCATTCGGTCTACTCTGCGGGTTCGGATCTTCGCTGCTCTTCACTCCATCGATCGCTGCGGTTGGTCACTACTTCAAGGCCCGACGAGGCCTGGCGACCGGTGTTGCATCCACTGCTGGTGGAATCGGTGGTATTATCTACCCCTTTATGTTGACTCGACTAATCGACAAGATTGGTTACGGATGGGCAACCCGAGTTATTGCTCTCATCTGCCTTGTCTGCAGTTTGATCGGTATTAGTCTCCTCAAGTCCCGACTTCCACCAGCCAAGGACGCAACGGCACACCCCAACTTTATGATCTTCAAGAGCCTGCCTTTCCTGTTCACTACCATCGGCGTCTTCCTGCTCGAATTCTCACTCTTCATCCCTCTCGGATACATCTCAACGTATGCGCTGCACAAGGGCTTCGGAAAAGATTTTTCATATAACCTCATCCCTATTCTCAACGCTGGTTCAGTCATCGGTCGGCTTCTTCCGGGTTATTATGCCGATGTGATCGGTCCTTTCAACGTCAGCATCCTCGCCGTCATCCTTGCCATCGTGGCATGTTTCTGCGTATGGCTTCCTCTCGGTGGAACGACAGCTGGCGTTATCATCTTCGCCGTGCTCTTCGGTTTCTCCTCTGGTACTTCTATCGCCATCGCACCTGTTTGCATTGGGCGGCTGTGCAAGACCCAGGAGTACGGACGATACTATGCGACGGCGTACACGATTGTGTCTTTTGCTTGTCTGATTGGTATTCCCATCGGTGGCAGTATTGTCCAGGCCAATGGTGGCGAGTACTGGGGACTCATTATCTTAACTGGCGTCATTTATGTAGGTTCTATGATCTCGCTGTTCTTGGCCAAGGTTACCCTTCTTGGGCTGCACAACTGGAAGGCCGCCCTTTGAGCTACTCAAAAGCCGACGCATATCTACGACGGCACGCTACGAAGATGATACTCGTCTTGGAAATAAGCCGAGCTGAATGAGAAATCTTGGCGCTCAAAACATTATGATACAGAACAAAAGCATTGCGTTTTGATTTAGAAAGGAGTTTGGAAATCAAAAGGAAAAGGAAGAAAAGTCGTTACGATATTGCAATTCTTTGTATATAAGATACCACCATATAGTAAAATATAATTTTTGTTTTTGTAGAATGGTGGTCGAGTCTTGATTGTTTATATTTCTACCAGCTACTCGTATCTCGTTATATTTTGACTCATTTTGTACCTATTTCTTACCCTGGCCCTTGATGTGCTCACCATGTAGCTCCTGGACTGCAGGGATAATAAGAGATTCAATCTCAATGTCAGGATCTTGGGCCGGCAGTTCTTCTGCAACAAGTGGCCTCTCCTCAGCCTCTCCCCAACCACCTTCTCGAGGCACACGCACCCAGCGATCATCTCTTCCAGGACTCACAAAGACGACTTCCCACTTTCGCGTTGAGAGCAGGTTTCCGATGACGAGATGGTGCTGATAACGATCGAGGCTGTAGCGGGCCTTGCGAACGAGCAGCGCAGGATCTGTCTCAAGCTTGAAAGACACAATCATACCCTCTGGCGCCCAGCCGTCGACAAGGTTCTTGAGAAATTTGGGAACGGGGTCAAGATCGACAATGAGACGCTTTGATCGTGGGACTGAAGGCGATGAGTCAAAATTGTCAAAAGTCTCTTCTTCCTCGGTGCGCTTCTGCTCAACAGCGTTGGTGGACTGAATCTTATGCTCGGCCATGCGGTCAGGAGGAACAAAGAAGTCTGACACTGCAGCAGCGAGGTAGAGGAGACCAGATGGGCCGAGGGGACGCATGAGTCGAGCAATTTCACGCAGCTCGTGGAGGTAGTCGACGATAGTAACAAAGGGTAGAGTGAGAAGCATGTTATCATCCCTCGCCTTGCGGTACTTTCTCAACACCTCTCTCATTTTATCCTGTACCTCACCTCTCACAGCAATTCTATCATCGGCATCCTCAGTCAAGAAGTCCAGAAAGCAATCCGTAGCGTGAGAGTAGTGTCTCGAATACGGCAGCAGGCTGAACTGACGATGCAAGAAGATCACGGCATAGCCAGCTTCGAGAAAGTACTCTGCGCTCGTAGCGCCACGAGTACCAGCGCTGAAGTTGTCAATATAGCGGACTGTCTGCTTCTCCAGGGGGACAGTTGTTCCACCTGACGTGACAAGGACGACACGGCGACCTGCAGCGGCGTGGGAGGAAATGAAGCCATCTGCGAGGGCTGTATGGGCTGCCAAGTTGCGCGGCGGAGGATTCTGAGAGAAATAAGCTTCCTCTGAGGCGAGAGCCTCTGCAGTGGTGTTTGCAGGCGTAGCCATTTTGTTTGGTTGAAGTTGGGAATCAAGACTTGGTGAGTCAGCGCACAAAGTGAGTAAGTGGGTGAGTGAGCCGGGCGGAGATTCGGATGCGGGCGCGGATGCGGAGGTCCGGACGGGAGGTCGGGCGGGGTTAATTGAACAGACGTCCGGATCCCGGAAGACGGAGTATAAGCAGGGAATTAAGCTTTTGGAGATGTTGATTTCAGGCGATTGAATAAGGAGAGAAATCGAGAACGAGATTTGAGGGTTATTTGTGCGTAGTTGTTTCCATTCCTCGCTTCTGGCCCCATCAACTGTGACGGATACTACTTACGCATTTATCATCCCGGCAAGGTTTTGAAGCTTGAATCAAGTAAATAGGCACGCATATCACCTACATAGGTAGCAAAAGAAAGATTATTTCATTGATTGATATCGACAATATATCTAGCATAACAAGATATCTGATTTTAATTATGACTTTAATTGTTGAGTTCATGATGTTGACTATCAGAAAGTAACTACTTTGCCGGCAATAAATCATGACTAACATGAGGAATATGTCTCATGATACACCCGATACACTACATCAGATCATGAGTTATTATCTCCATAAAATATCATTGCCAATCAATCCGGAAGAACGGCTATTCGGTAATTATAACTAGCTCATCAAGTACAACTCTAATAAGTATTTGATATATTTTTATCATTTGTGCTTCTCAAGACTCAGATGCCAACAAGGCGATAAAGGGGTCACCTCTTTCAGACGCGCCGAAGCAGCTGCAATCTGCTCATCAGTAACTACTCCTCATTCTCTCCGTATATAGTCTGTGTTATTGACTATGTACTCGTCGGTCAATTCTGGCCAGTGGGCATTAACGAGCATGCATTCTCTCTTGGGAGGTTCCAGGGAAAGTCTGCGTTCGTACTTGTCGCGGAAAACGTGATACTTTGCGAGCGCATCATATGGATGCCACCGAGGGCGGCTCTCGTTGGTTCCATGAATTGGTAAAGGGCAAGTAGTCGTTTCTTCTGGATCAGATAGTAGAAAGCTGATGAGTCGAATTGATCTGGCGTGGGCGGATAAAGAGTCCTTGGGCCTCTGAGTTTGGCTCCATGTATCCACATAGACTTGCACTGAGAATTATGAGACTTGTGTCTTCGTTTCATGTACGGGTAACATATCTGACTCGGTCTCGCCACGGTCAAAAACGGCAACACCACCAAATATCCGTCCTTCTGCCCAGTATCCAACAACGTCTGCAAGTCCTTGGGGATATTGGTGGAAATATGTGTATGATGTATGCAAGAATGCAGAGGGTGGAATAATATCTCTGACTTCCAATGTCAAAGTTTGTTCCATTCGTCGTTGCTGTGCCCAGTTCTGGTAAAGTTGATGATTGTGTGCTCTATCGTCAAGATTGAAGAAGTAGGCAACTATTTGATGACAGGCAACAAGTGTGAGTTCAACAAGACGAATATTGTATTCTTTAGAACCCATATTGGCATCCTGGAACGATTTTGAAAGCTAGTTTTTATATTACCACCTTATAACACATTCCTGTGCTGATACCACTTACATGTCCATCAAATTGCATATTATAAGGATCAAGAGTAGCGCACATTCTACGTGCCTTTTCAAGAAACCTCTCACAGATCCGAGTCTGCTCCAACTCAAAGACAGGATGGCCTTCTATATAAGGGGAGCCCTCCAAGAGTGAATCTTCAGTTGGTAGTCCATCGAGGATCTGGGCATATGTTTGTTCGGCAATATCGGTCGATATCATATTCGAAAGTGCTCTGAAAGACGCGTCTCTACGGTCTTTGTCAAGGACGCGAATAATGTTGTTTGCCTTCGCAATAAGAGCGCTACCAGACATTATGATGGCCAATTGATGCTATGCTTGGTCCATGAGCAGATGCTGTTCTATCATTCAACTGTTGGTAGTTGAACAATCGAGAATATCAGGCAGCAATGCTTTGTCAGGCTCTGGGCATCATATGAATTGACAGACCAACAATCCTACATGCGTTAGCCATCTATCCAAGATTTTTATCTTCTTCGATATTTGGCTGTTCATGTCTGCTTTCATTTGATATGCTGCTCATTCATTAGCTTCGTGGAAATTTATAGGAGCTGGTGTCACAGGCATACAAATGACCCTTGCATACACAGACTATTTTTGTTTAATTGGCCATCTGTATATTATACTACTATTTCCGCGGGTATCGAATAATGCAGCGCGGGCCTCCCACTCTCTACTACCCATACATGTAGCCGTTCTATGTTCTCAACTCTTTCCTTCTCTTACTTTATCGTTTGTTCTCATTTGTCAATCTCCATGCGCGCAATGGCAGACTCTGGAGATGCATCACCTTGGGCTTGATGTACCAGAAGAATGTCGCGGCGCCAAACAATACACAGAGAATGTTCACCGTGTAGTATCCATCGTGGGTCATCTCGCATGTTCCACCACCGGCTTCGCATCGCTCCTTCTCGGACTGCACTGCGCATGAAAAGGCTTCGGTGATGAGTGTGCCTTTCAATGCCGACGCACCAGACTTGCCAGGGTGGCATGTGGCCACTGTAAAGCTGTCGACAAGCTGCAGAACAAAGTACCTGGGGAATGTACCACCAAGGTTGCATACACTATATGAGTTGTTAGCTTGCGCGCTTTGAACACACGATGTGTACTACTTACGTTGCAAGTAGTGTCATGTAGGTACCGCCAATTACAGGATCTGACACTCGGGCATGGAAAGCCGAGACCGCAACGAACATGATGGTGTTGGTAAAGGTCGAGAACAGGTGCTCGGCGATAACCACCAACAGATACCAAGATGTGACTCCATCAGAAGGAAAGATTGCCACAACAAATTGGGCAGACAGAGCGGCGACAAGTCTACCGACAAAGCCCCAGCACCAAAGACGCATGGGGGTGTACTTTTGAGACCACATTCCAGCATAGTAACCCAGACCGATCTCGAAGGGGAAATCGATCAGAACCGTCAAAGCCATGTTGTCCTTGCCGAATCCCTTGTCCAGAAGCTTCAAGTTGGTGACACCGTCGTTAGCTTGGAAGCCAATCTTGGCTATGAGATGAACAATAATGATAGTCTGAACATTCTTAAGCTTCAAAATACCCCACATGATACGGTAGACATCCCAGACACCATCTTCATTCTGCGACTTGTCCTCCTTCTTCAAAAGTCCGAGTCCAATAGTAACAATGATGTAGGACCAACCCCAAAACTTGAGGTATCCTCCAAGTGAGAGAAGACCTTCATCGGAAGGAACGGTTCGGAACCATTTGTTGGCGAAATCGGCAGCGTTGAAGGCAAGGAAAACGGTATAGGACATGAAGTGGCCAGCGGTAAGACCAACGGTTTGCGCAGTCGAAGCATACGATACGTTTCCAGGAGTCAGGAGTGTCAGAGCCCAGCCATCTACAGCAATATCCTGGGTGGCGCACATAAGGACGAGGAAAAACCACCATAACATAAAGGAGAAGGCTGTCATGCCGCCGGGCTTTCCTGCCGTGTCCATCATGGCTTCAACGTTGGATCCAAGCCATACCATACCGAAACCAGAGAGAAACTGAATGGGGACAATCCAAGTCTTGCGTCGGCCAATCTTGGGGCTCCAGACAGCGTCCACGAATGGACTCCAGAGAAGCTTCAGAGAGTATGGATATGAGGCCAAACTGAAGACACCAATCTCACTGTAAGACATGTGGTTCTTGAGCAGAAAAGGCACGGAACCCATCGCTAAACCCATGGGAATGCCCTGCAAAAAGTATAGAAGCACCAAGAGAAGGAAACTCCTTTGGTCCTGTCGAGGAAGCTCGAAGAAGCCATGATCGTTGAGGGCGGGTGTTTTTGGAACAGGATCGTCGAGGGAAAAGGATTCGCTCTTGATGAAGTTTGCAGCGACATTCTCGTCTCCCGGATTAGCGGCCTTTCGGCGCATCTCTACTCCGCTGCTCATTTTGCCGTTGCCGTTGATGTGACCGTTCCCATTCGCATCCTCTGTATCTCCAGTCTTGATTATCAGGGGCGGCCGGCCGGGTTTGTTTTGAGGTCGTCGAGCTCTGGCGGTCATAGGTGCCGGAGGGAAAGAGGATCGAGGCTACGGCGCGCGTAAAAGAAAGTGGTGGTATAGATTGTAAAGGGGGGTTGAACGAATGCGACGAGGCGTCGAAAGCGTCAAAGTCAGATGCGGGTGCGATTCGATGGATCTGTCTCGTTTGCGTGACGTATTTTATGGAGAAGTACAAATATAGGAGACGAGTAGAAGATTGTTTGAAGAGAAGAGAGTAGAAGGAGAAGAAAAGAAGTAACAGAAAGTATAATCAGAGTGTGAGTGAGAGTAAGAATGGATGCAGTAGTTGAAGGAGTGCAGCAGACAGGAAGGAAGGAAGGGAAAGTTGTCAGTCGTTGCTGTACCAGGAGTGAATGATTGGAAATCTTAAGAAGGTCACTGTAGACGTTTCGGATACGGGTTGGCGCAGGCAGAAAAAGAGGACCTTGCAGGCTCCCGCTACCGTGGCCTCTATGAGATGTGATATGATTGGGTTGTTTTCTATCTGGGGATGGATCTAGAATCTTGAATGGGAATAGGCGATAGAGACGGTGTTTTTTTTTGTTCTTAGCTGGCCTCTTTTTGAAGACAAATCCTTTTTGGTGGCGATGTAAGAGAGGGTCTACTACGAAGGATGTATCTCAATTTGACGTAAAGGAATAAGCAGTTGAACAGAAAAATACAGATATAGAGCGGAGATTCCAGAATAAATACAGAAAGACAGAAATCTACTTCACAAACCGCAGAAAGGACCGAGCAAAATAGATCGACTTAACCCCGAAAGCCAAGCACTCTCCGAACTCAGTTTTTCCCAAAAAGGAAGCGCGTCAGGGGTTGGACGATGTTGATGTTCCGGGGCCTGGGAAGTATCAAGGCCAATGAGACCTCCTACAATCTGTCACTGGGTGATATTCTATGGGTGTGACAAATCAGGGGACCAAGACATAAAAAATGCTTACAAAAAACAGAATATGCTCAGTGTAATTATCTTGTATCCATCAACCGATACTAGGTAGAAAATATTCCATCTCATTAGGAATCATTTCCATGTGATCAACCCAAGTTAATCTAGTCATGGAACTTGTTATACGGGGCCATGCAAGTCAGAGGCGGGCGGGTACTACAAAGACGGTCTTATCTTATCAATGTCCCTGTCAAAGCTTCAACCAATCGTGACTCTCAAACCATTGTTTTGTAAACAGACCAAAACAGCATCACCATCTTCTTCGTCATCGCAATCCCAATTTCACCCTTCACCCTGTCGCCCGATACATCTATCATCATCATGTCATCCAAGGTTCCACCTCCAACAGAGAGCGAGCTTATTGATCAGGAAATTGTAGCGCTTAAAGAACAAGGTTGGTAGCTAAACCCAATGGCGCATTCAAAACACTGTCTGACGCATAGAACAACCCAGCTGCTGCATTACGCAAGTCGCTCAAGATCCAAACATCTACCATCCTCTCCGCGCCCTCAACACAAGCTCTCCTCAAGTCTACCAAAGGGTTCTCGTCCCGCAAGTCTTCGGCTCACGCCAAAGTCCTCAGCCAGTCCGAAAAACAAAAGGCACATACACAACAAAACCTTTACCGCTCGTGCAGCTCCGTCACGACCTTCAAGGTTCATGATCCCGATCCCAATTCAGTCGACAGCGGTCATGTCTTAGGCTTACGATTCGAAATAATGTCCAAGAGCCGGTTCTTGCAACCGTACTACGTCTTTCTCAACCGGCCATACTACAACTCGAAGTATATGCGCGTTCACAGAAATACACTCCCTCCTGCGATTCCCATCTCCGGATTGGCGGCGCGTCATCTCCCAGCTCCACGACCGGAAAGCGACAATCCTCCCCAGCAGGACTTGGATCGATTTGTCAGGGCGTTGCGACGAGAGATCGTGCGATACCACAACAGATTGGGTGTCTCCGCCGATTTGAGACGAAGTCTAGGTCTACATGGCAGAACTGACGACACAGTCTTACCCGATGACATTGTTGAGGTCGGAATAGCAGACATTGAGGCCAAGCAGATCAGGTTCTCTTGGGCCGATGACCGAAGCGGCAGAGTTATAATGGACAATGACGGCAATGTTATCAAGCTTATGATGTTTGGCAGAGAGGGCCGCGATTGGGAGACGACGAAAGAGCTGTATGGCAAGTACGATCGTATCGAAGATGTGGCCAAGACACTTCAGAAGTATGTCAATGGCTGAAGTTGACGATCGACAATCACCACGAATCACGAAATAACGAATGAGATATGAGGCACGCAATACCCGACAGCCAATACACGCATTATCCTGAGCCAGAAGACGAGAGAAGAGCCAACTCATGGACTTTCAGTCCCAGGCACAAAAGGTTATCTTTCAGAGCATGAGGCACACTTGGCAGGCTCGACCTATCCCCAATATTGCAGAGAAATTTTCTGCACACATGCACCCGGTACTGCCACTCTATCGACAGCCACAAGCACCTTACGGCAGCAATGGAAACGCGGGTGTTTGAGCTGTCAGGGTGGATGAGTTAAAGTGGCAGCGATAAGAGTCCCCTCAAACTGCATTCTTTCTGGTCGAGCACTAGAGACGCAAGGGGCACTCAGACTCAAAGATCAGGGGCGCTGATAGCGCTCAGATGGTGTATATGAAGAGTTCGAGTTTCGGATAGAATATCGGATGTTCAATTGTCGGTGTATGAGAAGGCGGTGGGTTGCGCCACCCGAAACAACAAACATCGAGGTGGCCCGATGCTCGGACGGGCTTATCAGCGGCAGTGCTCTTTTTTTGGCCATTTCAGCTGTTCAGGACCTGGGCAAGATTGGTGTTCGGCTCTGGATACTCAGCTACATGGGCTACAGGCAGCTTTGTGACAGAACACATTGTCAATACGACATATCAGCCAAAGCATGGCCAATATCTATTATTAGCAGGCCATATATGCCACTTCTCTCTTCGGTCAGCTCCCGGGTTGCTATGTTACTGGGGTGTGAGATTATTAGTCTAGCAAAACGAGAGAACAAACCATACTGCAAAAAGCATCACAGCACCACAGCACCACATTTAACTTGACCGATGTATATTCCTTGTTCTTCGTATCATGTGAGGCTTCGTACATGATACATGTATGACTGTATCCTCGGATTTCAGGCCTGGGAACAAGGCCAAGAGACTATCCCTGGTTACTGACAGGTGACGTGTGAGATGTCGAGCGTGTCATCCCCATACATTGCTTTGGACTTCGTCGAGGCAGACTCGCCTCGCAATGTCAATACAGCTAAACTCATGATAGAATCCTGTAGATGTCTTCTGTGTTGGATCTCAATCACTTCCGGAACATCCTATTCTGGCAATCATTAGCTAGCCCGCCTCATCCAAGAAAGAAAGTCACACCTAAATATTTCCAATTGGATCCCATGGGTCCCTCTTTAGCTTTATAGCTGTCTTTCCAAAGTCTTGAATAGCCTCACCAATCCAAAGGTTTCTTTGCCACTGGTGCAGCTCCCGATCCTAGCATGTCGTCCATTATACTCTCCAACCTCACACCCGTCTCATCATCCAAAATACTCCGATCAATCTTCCACAACTTAATCTGCTCCTCAACAACCTCTGTCCATTTCTTCACCAGTGGGTGCGCATCCGCCACATCCGCAAAGACAACTTCTTCTGCGCCTGCGGCAGGCTCAACTTTGTACTTCCAGTTCCCGTCTTCAGCCCAGTATTCGGGCTTGAAAATACCCTGCGTGCTGAGTTCCTCGTGTGCTTGCTTCATGAGCTCAGCGATCCGAGAAGAATCCGCGTCTTTGAGGCTGTGGACGGCTTCTGCGATGCCTTCTAGCAGACCTAGCAGTTGACCTGCTCTAAGCCCTACGCTCGCGCCAAGACTGAACCCCTCATCGAAACCAGCCTGAATACTGCTCTCCTTGGAGACCGTGATACCCTCACGATATCCAGCTGTCGTATGTTCTGTCTGTAATCGACGGATATCAGAAGGGTGAGCTGTGCCTGACTCATCGTTGTGATGATGCTCTGTAGGTGACGAAGGACCCGAGCCAAAGACGTCATCTAGCGCATCGTTTGTTTCTGGATGATCAGTTTGAGTTTCATCCTGAGGACGAGCGGTATATGGTTCGTCAGTCATTTGCTCGACGGGTTGGAAATGCATATTTGATGTTGAACTTGTAGGGTACGTGAATTGGTTTCAAGGCTTGACGTTGTGTGAGTGGGGGTGCCTGTTTTTTGGTGGCGCTAGAAATCCTTGTCTGCGCATGTAGAAGAAACTGAGTTTAAGATGCCTACTTTCTATACATTTAATTTTACTTTATTTTTGTTCACTACCTTTTGTTTACATACCAAACAAAACATGATCTCCCTTTTGGATACGTCTCCTAAGTTCGTGAAGCTTGGTAATCATAACTCATAATACATGCTATTACTTTTGACTAATACGTGTAGAATCAACCTATCCTGGCTAAGTAATCAGATATCCTCAACATGGGCCTTGTCATATCAAGACACAACTGCCTGCTCTCCATTATGTGCAGGCATATCTTCCTCTGTATTCAACGGCTGCAACATGTGATATTTCTCACGCAGATACTCCTTCTGATTCTCTCTCATCAATCCCAACTCCAGCAGGAAATTGACAATATATAGAAAATCTTTAATATGCGAACGAAGACCGTCTTCTGCGTTATGACCCGTAGGAAGGGCAAGGACATCGGCGATTGTGCTGGCAATCTCAAAGAGCTTCTGTATGATGCCGCTGCCCTGGGTTGCTATACTCACAATACTGTCTAGCCTGCCAACAAGACTGCGGAGTTGTATTGACAGACGCGATGCTGGGAACTGTAGTGATAGCCCTTCATGCGTTGTATCGGAGGATCCGGAGTGGAGAAGACCTTGTGACAGAGCCAGCTGCCATAACAATGTGCGCAACCAAAGTCTCGTGATGAAGAGGTCGGCACGTTGCAGTTCCGTAAAGCCAGCGTGTCCAGCAGTACTCATCCTTGCCTCGGCCGCTGCGGCGTTCATCTCAGCCTGGTCAAGCTGCACCTGCTTGTTCTCGATCCACTGCACCGTTAGCCCACCAATCGAACCCCGTTGCGATTGCCAACATGCGAGGAACGTCTCGTCCAGAATCAGGAAGAGTTCTATTAAGCAGTTAAACCCAACTCTGATGTGTTCCGGTGTGGAGGCATCTGTAGCCGAGAGGTTTGTGTGAAGAGGGGGCATAATGCTAGGATATCCATCGGCGATGGTAAGAAATCTTTCGTGTATATATGCCTCCCAGTAAACTTGTTGGAACCGAGCCATCGGATATGGTGTCCGTGTCGGGTCTGGCAACGTCCGTTGCTGGACCTCCATGACTTGAATTAATGATATTGCCTCCCGGATAAAGCTGAAACTTCGGTCGAGGCGAGTTAAACCCATTGTTGAGATCTCGAGGTAGATACATGTAATGATGCGCTTGATGCTGTGAGGCACCCCCTCATCTACGCGTCCAGGGCCATGACTACTGATGCCGGCACGATGATGTGCTTCGAGACTGTGGTATACCAGGTTGCTTATTTGCGCTGCTACACTACCGTGCGTGTTGTCTGCCGTCTGTGATAAAAAGGTAGTGACGGCAGCGTATGCGTATACCAGAGCTGCGTCCTCGGGATTATGATGCATCATGGATATTGATGCGAGAATTTCCTCGGGGGTGATTGCAGGACTGAAAGGGTAAACGACCTTTTCAAACTCTGGCAGCAGCGAGTGAAAGAAGCCGTTGGTAAAGGCCTCCGAGTTTGGAGAGAAAGGACCGGATGCTGATGCTGAACCAGGGCTACTCCCTGGCGGCCATTCGCTAGCTGCATGAGGCGTTGAATGAACTGCCGAAGGAGACACGGAAGCGCTTGGCGAAAGAACCGTCTGCTGCTGGATGTTGCCTTCTCTGGCCTGGGCTACAAGTCGTCCTCGCTTGGGGTTCTGACGTTTCCTAGGCGCCGTTGACCTGATGCATTGGACATCGAACTGACGGCAAGGCGAGCAGGGGTTTCCATCATCGCACTTGACCTTACGCACTCGACAACCATGGCAGGCAGGCATTGCAGAAATAAAAATAAAAATAAAATGCAATAATGCGACAATACTGTAGGCGATATAACTCAGGACAGGCCCTTATTAAAGCCGTAGAGTGGAGGTCAATATGAAGCTGAGCTGTTTCGAGATGAAGCGCGTTTTGGCTTTGGCTTTGGCTCCAGCCCCCGCGGATCACGTCGGGCCTGAGCAAGCGCTAGACGCATATGGAAGGCAGACATTATAGGTCACGTGAAGAACATGCATCAGCGAGTGTGGCTTTTGCGAGTATTAGAGGAGAATAAATGAATATTGAAGCAGCTTCAATAGACTTTGATATGATACAAGATGAGAGACTGATGGCAAGTAATTTAATAGCCATGGTGGAGTCATGACCAAGTGCTACGTAGAGTACTACAGTACAACGAGGTAGTAGGAAAGGTAGCTTTGGCCCGGGCTGTAGTTTGAGTCTTTGACTCGCGTTTACGTTTAATAGCTGCACAGACAAAGTAAGTGCATTTCCCCTGATAAAGGGTATTTTCTACTGCAATGGTACATGATTCAAACTCAATTTAACCTATACAAACATTGCGAGTCATTAATACGAGTACATGAAACCCCAGACATGCCGACATGATAGGCTCTTGGCTGCTTGTAACCTCATGCAACAAACATTGCTTTTTTGCTGCAGTTTGTAGATCTACATGGCGACTACGGAGTATTTTGAATACAGAGCTAGCCCATCATGTCTGATTTGGACCCTGGAACTGCATGAATAGACCGCCAAGTAAATTGCATTGTCCTGTCGCTTTACAACATTGGCTGGCTGATTGGAGGTCGTTGATTGCTCTTGTCTCTTGTCTCGTCTCTCATGAAACAGATCTGTCTTTGATCAAGACTGGCAAACAGCCTCATGTACATCAGACAACAACTATTCCTTACTCAATCTCTCATCGGAGTGAGCGATCACATTCCATAATAGATTCCACATATCAAGCATCCGCAAATATCCATCCCCTTACAGGCTTCCAGACCGACAGATGTCCTTTGCTTATACCGATCATTATACCGGTGTCAAAGTCAGAGCCCCGTCTGTCGATTATGCCGAGGCTAGCTGGACCATTATGTTGGTAGGCGGTATTCCGATATTGAAACATCATCAATTTTATCCACCGCATTGGAAAAGAGAGTCGGTCTGGACTCGTTTCACCTCATACCGCATAGTTTCTATGACCACAAAACTCCTATTTGTGATATTCGGCTCGCGTACCCTTGACGCAATGCTTCCTTGCAGGGTTGACTCGTTGGGAAATCTTCTGGAACTTCTCCCACCGCCTGGAAAATAACCGTGCTCATGGCCCATGCCCATGCCCAACCGTCTGGAAGGAAGCCTCGTTGTTCCAAAGCGGATCTCCAATTTAGCATGACATCTCGGCCGGTATACCGGTAGCATGTACATACGTATGTAGGTACAATGTATGTTATCTAGCGGTCTGGGGGGCGTTTGGGATCGTAAAGTTCCCCATCACGGGCTTTGAAACCCTACACAGACAGGCAACAACAGAAAATTTAACCAGGTTCAGCCTTGCTTGTGCCATGCTGTCACCGATTCGATGGCGCTTACAGGTGGATGAGTTTTGGTCCTGAAACCCTGCCCAGGTAACGAATCCCTCCCCGGCCGGGCAGCTAGCTAATAGAGCCAGTAGACAGGCTAGCCCAGCTAGGTATGTAGAACAGCGAGTGACATGGAGGCTAGATTAGAGCGTCGGCACCGGAGCCACGGTTCTGACGCTGCCGCTGTCCGGGGGTGTTAGAGTGAGTTGCGACCTACGGGGAATATGACCCCTGCAGCCCGGACAACACTTGCTTTCCAGGTTTCGTTCTGTTACCAGTTGGGCTCAGAAACGTAGGCCAAGCTAGACAACGAAGCCAGCGTGTATAGTGAAGTGTACATGCTACAGCACAAAAGGACTTTTTAACAGGATGGCACTTACATATATGTACATGCAGTCAGTCATTCGACTCATACAAGACGCAATATGACACACACACACTACACACCCTTTCCCCAACATTTTCGTCTCCCTTGAGCTGAGTGAGAGCTTTTTGGGATGCGGCACTTGCACGGCATCTGATTTCTGTCAGATGTTCAAAGCGCTTTCGATCGCATGGCAAACAGGGATAGATAGGTTTTCATTCTTGGGTGCAACCCATCCAGCTAGGAACAAGAGGGAGAAAGACCCGCCCCGGTGATCCGACACTTTCGGTTCCATGTACCGGTGGAATTAAAAAAGAGCCCACAGCGAAAAGTCGGGACAGGCACTTCTCCTGGTTTGCCTGCTTGCTTGCTGGCAGATGGGATGGGATGACTTGGGTTGGGTTGGGGTTGGGGGTGTGAGAGAAGAGGACAAAAAAAAAGGAGCCTGCAAATGGATGGAATTTCAAGGGCACTTAGACAGGACCGTTCTCGTGGAACCGACTCCGATTGGCCATATTAAGCTCTCAGACCCTTCTTCATCGTTGAGGACCGTTGTACTACTCGGTAAAAATAAAACAAAATAAAAAATAAAGCATGTTCTTGTAGTAGTAAACGGTAATGGGGTGTGGTTCATTCGTATTCATGAATCCTTGTCCTGGTGGTTTTTGCTTGCTATTGATATTGTCAATGACAATTTATTTACTTTGACAACTGTAGGTCATAATGTTGTGTATCATGAATAAAAGTACTGATCAAAAATTCCTGTGCGTCAACTTGAGCCTCGTATGTCATGGTTACACACACAGTATCCGCATCTTTTTTTATTTGTTTGTTTTAAAAAACGATCGCCCCAGCATCTGAGCTTAGCCTTTGACGTGTCGCAGTTGTGTTTGCCTCACACCCGAAACCTGTCAAAAACTGTCGGAAGAATAGATAAATTACCTACTTACCCATGACTGTCTAACTATTCCGTATCCATCAATCATCCTTACAAATTATCCTTGCTCTTGACATATTCCGTACTCGGGAAACTCTTCCCTTGCCACTGGAGGCACTTTTTTGACAATCCCAATCAATCCTTCCCGGAACTTTGGAATCACCATCCGAACCGATCGGCAGACGAA